GGGACGCCTCCGATATATTCGCCACCTGTTCTTTTGTCTGTGGCCCTCGTTTGGTTCGTTCGTTCGCCTTGATGTTCCCGTCGTTCCCTCGCCCCAGCATTCCCTGTTACATTAGGACAGAATTGATTTCAATTGTTCCCCTTAGGCACATACATGGTATACACTCCAGGTACACAAATGCTTCTGATAAGAACAACTCACATGCATCAGTGACTGTAATCACATTCAGTGTATTGCATCACCATGAACTCAAAATTTATCCGTAATCAATATGCAACTAATATTATTTTTCTACACTTCAGGCAGGTTTACTGCTTTAGCTAAGGGCACTGATTTTTGAACTGTTTAGGAGTTACCAGGAATTCAGTAACAAATTATAAATTCAAAATAATTTCATGAATAAATCACTTGTCATAATCAACACTAAGTAATTTAAAAAACAGTAATCCAGTGAAATAAAAGTTGTTCTTCTAGAGAATCTTCACAACACTTGTACCCCTTTCTTCTGCTCATAATTCGTGAAGAAAGTGAATAGTCTACAAATAAATATATTTTGACATCTACATGGCACCGTGAAGCTCGGGCACACTCGTCAATAGACTTCTATTGACAAAACGTTACATGAGCCGAGCGCAGTAATCAATGAGGATGAAACTCTGCTATTTGACGAAGGTCGAGTAATGCTCCCGATTGTCCCCGGGTAGCAGGTATTGAACTAAATGGGTAGAAAATGGAGCCCCACATTTCAGTTTCTACATAATACATTTCACAGGTAAGTGTCATCAGAAAAATAGGCGGCTATTGTATATTATTATTCCAACCCTATGATAAACGTGATGCAGATCAGACACGTGACATAGTACATCAACGTTGACTGTAAAAATCTCGCGAACATAATATCGATCGTTTGTGACTAGAAACATTTGCCTCGAAAGTTATTCAATAAAACAGAAGGTTAAATAAGACTACACGAATAAATAAGCACTCCTTCTACGCTCCTCCGAAATGCGTGTTCATTTAGGAAATCCGCTTCTGAGAATAAACGTAACACAACGCACTTTCATAGCGGTCTGATATAATTATCACATGCTCCCGACCGTGTTCGACAATTTTAACCGGGTAAGTAGCTCTTATAATTAAACTGTTGAGTACGCTTTGTCTTAATTGCGAAGCCCTCAATTTCACAGGTTCGTAAGCCATTGATAATGATGAGGAATTCAATAGTTGTTGAATGCATTTGAAATCCTCAGGAGCTTTGCATGAACAGAAGCGGTAAACAGCACTGCTGTTACTCCAATCACTTCCACGCCTGATCTGCTGAGATCTTATGTGGTTCGTCATTTTCAGTCACATAATCAGGGATGCCAGTTTCCTTCAAGTTATGAATCATGAGAATACAAAATCTTACACGTATTCGTTCGCTTGCTCGCTCTGCTCACTCAAAAAAACAAGCGTGAACACATCACCCTAACCAGCGTTCGTCAAATAAATTGCACTACTTTTTTTCACCGATAGCTCGGGTCTGTACTTTCGTCCACCAGCTAGTCACCAAACCTGGAATCCAAACTTTTTCATTTCTCCAGTCGTGAATTTCAGCTGATGTTTTAATCACCGTAGTGCTGTTTATCAATAACCCAACAGTAAGGAATCCTTGATGTTTGATTTCGTATTTTCGAACATCAGGTGAAAATTAAAATATCATCCATGTACCGTCTGAATGTTTTATCCTTTTTGTTAACGTTCTTCACTCTATTCACCCGAACCTCAGTGTATCTCACGAAGAAGAACGCGACAACAGATTGTCCTTTCTAGATATTCTATTAGCCAGGCGTCAAGATGGGATTCTACAGCGCAGAATCCACCGAAAAGCAACGTGGGGTGAACGTTATTTACAATTGTCCAGCTTCGACCCAGTGGCTTACAAACGTGGCTTGGCCAGAACCCTCTTCAACAGAACCCAGAAAATCTGTACAGAAGATCAAATACAGAACAAACAGGAGTTCATGAAAAGAACGCTGCTGGCTAACGGTTATCCGGAGAACTTTATCAGACAACATCAGAGGCCGAGACTTGTGCGCGCGAAAACAATGAACGTGGAAAAGAAGCAAGTTTTCATCACTTTGCCTTTTAAAGGAGATCATTTGTTCAATCAAATAAATTGTAATCTGAAGTCAGCTCTAAGGCACACATACACAGCGGCGCAGTTGCGTTTGCTGCAGACGACCAAAAGGTAATGTTTTCAGAATCACTCAAACAGTCTTGTTGATTTCAATGTCTCACATATTGTCTATCAGTTCACTTGCAGTTACGGTGACGCACACAATGGCAGGACGGATCGTTGCTTGACTCAACGAGTGTCAGAACACATACCCAAATGGCTGTCAAACTTGATGACGCAACCTGCTGGGGCAATACACAACGACATGAAACCGCCAGTTTCTTCGATTGGAAGACTCTTGATTGCATCAGGTCACAAAGTTGACCTGACCCAGTGTTTCAAAGTATTGTTGAGCAATCCAACACCGAAACTATTAGCATTCAGTGAAGCTATTCTAATCATGATGCATCAGCCAGCACTCTGCAAAAAAACGATTGACCCAAAATGTTTGTTTACCCTGGCGTTAACACGACAGACTTCACTGTCCCCAACGTACGTACTGTAGAAGCTTTCGATCGTGCCTACTTAACTTAACTGTTGCACTTACCCCCCTACTGAACCATGTATATATACTGACACGTTTTACGTCCACGATTGACAAGAGTAAAACGAAATCCTTGCATCTCACGACTTAAGTCTTCTCTCTGTTCTCATGAATTGGATAAAGGGGACCCAATGTTTTAAATTTCTTCAAGTTATGTTTTTATTTTCCTCGTTTTTCCAAGCCCTAAATTAGCTATTCTTCTGATCGTGTTGCACATTTGGACCGTACGACATTTCTCAGCCGGGGCAGCTCGTCACTTCCCGACTCCCAAAATCGCTTTCTGCAAGCCAGGATTAGATGCCCGTCAACCGTACACAAGGATGAAGAATGATTCGTCCGCTTGAGAGCCGATCATTTATTCGCATCTGCCACTGTTAGCCGAGCATTCTGGTCCCTTGACCAAGCAATCCCTCGCATTTCCCCCTCCCAATTTCCCTCCCACAGGTAGAACCTCTGATCTTCTTGTTGAATCACTCCAGCAAGCAGAGGTGTTTGCTTTAATATTTAGCTTCCTTTCCTACTCCTCCGGTTCCTACTTCCCCCACCCCGTTTCCCCGTTTTCTATCTGATTAGCACTAGCAAGTTCGGCCAAGAGCTGTTTTCTATGGATGTATTCCAACCACCCAGGTCCGGACGCTACACAAATGTGTACCCTGAATTGGCCTCATCTCCTACATCGTCTTATCTGTCTCACCCTCCAACATTCTACTTTTCCGATCCCCTGAAAACAAGCCTTCGTCTTCATATTCTCAAAAGTATTCGGAACTATTATTTTCGAACAATTGAGTACTTCCCTAAATCGCAGAAGACTAGTGAGTATTTGCCACTTTACATTCCGACCACACCGTTCCACTGGTGATGTCCTTGTTGTCGTCTTACACATCTGGTCGACTACAATTGACAGCGACGGAGAAACCCACATGGCCTCCCTTGACATCCCTTTAACCTCCGACTGATTTCGACGCGAAGGCATTCTGGCGAAACTGGCCACGTTCAAATCCTCCTCCACTCGCGTGTCGTGAACATCAAGTTTCCTCATTAGGTGAACCAACTCCATCCGTGTTGATGGGGTTCTGTCTCAGCCGTTCTCTGTGAATGCTAGCGTTCTCCAAGGTTCGGTACTTGAGCCCATTTTAGGTCTAATATTTATTATTGGCCATCTATTCACCACTTCTAACTCAATCCATTCCTTTATCGGTGACACCACCCCTCACTTTTCTCCATGATAACAGCAACATTAATCGTAACCGCAGTCCAATTTCATCCTGGAGCTCTAAAGTTGCATTCATTGCTTCCGAATCTCTCTTCCCGAAATTTCTTTGCAGCATCATTCATTCTCATCTCATTCATACTTTGATTCAACTGTACTGCATTCCATGGATTCTATCCCTCTTCTTCGCTTGTCTCAAACATTTCCTTTCTCTTGGACCGCCTGGATATTTCAGTTTGTTTCTCATGCTTCGCGCGGAATTGATTTATGTTTCGCGACAGAAACTTCCTCACACCAACTTACCTTCTGTTGCACGAAGCTCAAATCTATCCTGCACCTGAATATCGCAGTCACGTGTGGGGTGGTGCTTTGTCTCCCACCCCACTTGCTTATCTTGATCGGGTTAAACGAAATGCCATCCGGCTGATCAACGACCCTTCTTTAACTTATTGTTTGCAGTCGCTAACCGATTCTCGGGTGGCTCTAAGTATTCCCTCTAATACTGGTATTGCTTTGGGTTTGTTAGTCTGAGCTCGCTTTGGCAATTCTTCTCCCCAAAACTTTTTCCCGATCATCAAGTAGCAGGGTAACCCGACGTTCCTTCAAAGTTTCTGACACGAGATATTATACTTCAATTTTTTAGTCTTGTATTTTCTCCCGGACCGTCAACTTAAGGTGCACCACTTTTTTCTGTCTTCCTACCTACACACAGCCTTTGCTGTTATCCACGTTCCAGCTCCACAAATTTCAACGATTTCCGCAACCTCTCTCTCACCCAAGAAATGCACCGCATTCGTTGAGGGGTCGGTGTTTCATACAAAACTGCCAGCTACATCTCCAAAACGGATGTCGACAACCAACAGGTTAAAATAACAAGGGATTTCAAAGCTAGCAGACAATTGTATTATTTCCCTTGAGATGGGTAAATGTAAAAACTAAGGTTGAGATTCGTAACTCATTTGGTTCTATATTGAAGAATGTGTTCAGCTTTGGATAAACCGAAGAAAATCATTGAAAGAATAACTAAAGTGATGGAAGAATCGTACAGAGTAAGATCAAATCGCTCCATGTGGAACCCTTGTTTTCTGTTATCGTGCTATCCGAGACTGTCGTTTGCAAAAGCGTGACTAAAATGCAGAAAAATAATAGTGTAATCCAGTGAAATAAACATGCCATATTCGTTAGAGATGAGAAAACCAGGAGTTCAACGAATATTTTGCAATAAAACATCTGTTGAGACCGAACATCAACTTTCCATGTCGGCCGGTGAACTATGTAAAAGAGATGAGTCCAAGTATGTTTAACAAGCTGACTCACCCTCTTCGGGGTTGTTAGGTATTGGGGTGGTTTGATTATTTTCATCGGAGCAGGGAATTCTAATTTCTCCATCTAAGTTGAGGAAGAAGTTCAAAGTATTTAGTTGCATTGATCCTTGTAGTTGAGCACATTGTACATTTTTCTATCTTCAGAACGATCAGACTGTATCACATAATTTGGGGAATTACGAGTAATTCAACAACCAGTAAAACCCAAATTCTAACAAGACGTACCCTGATTTTTTGAAATTTCAGTCGCTCTTTGACTGGTTTTGCTATCTGCTAAAGCAAATTTGGAGTCAGATGCAGAAACACTTGAATAACGCGTTATGAATTTGAAATGGGAAATTGCTGATCATAAGATAGTACATCAGCTCACCTAGGTCACTTGACTGACACTGAATTTGCAGCAGATGCCCTTCTTCTATCTCTAAAAATGTGTGCAGAATAAAGTGTACACATGATGTTGAATAATTCTCGTTATAATTTGGATACCATTGACTTGCAAGCGAGCAAAGGCAGAACATATATTCATTGACTATTTGGTAAATGCTTTTTGAAATCGATTTGTGTCAAAATATCATATACTTTTTCTCCTTGTACGGGGACTTATTAAATAGCACACTCATTTGATTATGATATTGTAAAATACGAGGGGAAACGCTCGAAGGATTGCTTTCATCGTCGAATTCGTCGGTTAATTTCCCCAAAGAACATCGTGTGTATGGCGTTATTCACACTTTCCACTACTTGGCAGGTATTCTCATATCCAAAAATAATAAAACCACGCTGTTCACTAACTTCGCTGAACATATAACGAATCCTTATTGTGCTCTTGATTGTCCTGATACGTAAACTGCCACATTTTTCAGGCATAATATTGCTTTTCACCAGAAACGGAGTCATTATATGCACATGCCATTTTCTGTCGATGTCTCTATTCATGAACGTCATGAAAGCTAACAAATTTACTTCATTGTACGAACACGTTTTACTCACCGGTGGGTCTAGTTTGCTCAAGTTCGCCAGCACATTCCGTGAAAAGGTCCTGTAAATTTTTTTCTGTATTTCTTTCCTTGGATTCGTTCACCCATATGTTCACATAAACATTGCTTCCTTTGAAACCCAAAAACCAGTATATGAACAGCCGACTATGGGGCATTATTTTTTTTTGCTCGTTCCTAGAACATGGTTCCATCTGCAGTGTATTGATATAATTGGAAGAAAACGGTACTCCAGTGACTGAGGTACAGAAGGTTTTCCTAAGCTCTTTGTGCTTGTTGATTTCAGATTCAGTCCATGGACACGCATTCAGCAATTTCTACTAAAATGTGTGCACCGAATAGAGTTTTTCATATGTACCCGGCGTTAACTACTAACGAAGCACAATAAACTCTAAAGAATGTTCGAAAAACGGGCAAATAATTTTTAGTGAAATATGTTTTGAATAGCAAACTGCTTCTTGCAAACCATCTATACATTAAATGGTCTTTCGAATCTGTTCACAATATGGTTGATACCAAAAACCACTCCGTCGAATGAGAATCACTGTTGATCATTCTTAAAAAGAGCAAACGAAATTTAGTGAAACTGTCGCTTGATACTTAAGATAGTAATTAAAAAACCAGCTGTAAAACGTTTTTAGTGAGATTGTAAACAAACGTTTGCTCACCTTCAACCTTGTTTGATTCATAACAGAAATTCTTTTTATCGTTGTGTACTGCATCATTTCGTCCCACACGGAAAGTGTATACGTAAAGGCCTGTATATAAACTGGTAATCAGTTTGGATATGTCCAATAAACCATGTACTCAAAATAATAGTCATCTGTTACAATTATGAACTATGTCAGACATATCTGGTCTGATTATAAATTCTTTGTTGGAATGTACATTATGAAGACCTTATGGTTTTATAGTCTTGTCAGATAAGAGAAAGATTTTAAAAGTATATTATGGAGGTACGTAACCGAAGACACCGGAGCACATAGTGAGCAGATACTTACATACTGCATCGCGTTTTATTGCAGCTCCTGAGGATAAAACAATAATGAGTAATATATCTGCCTAATTCTATTTTCCAATTTTCATAGCCTACTGCAATTTCGGTGCAATTGCAATCCTACCACCTTATTCTCAAAAATGTTGGCCAGTAAACTGTTTATGGCTACCACATTCATGACATTCAGTCAAGCATTTGGACGAAAAATTTACACTCAGTTTGGTACATCACATTAACTGGGTCACTTGGATCAACGAAAAACATGACCTCATTTTGGGCTTCGTTACTTTTGGTTATGATAACTTCCGAGAATCGCGTGCCAAATAACTTGAATTGCTCTTGAATCAACTGATTGAAATTTGTTGCTGAAGCAGATAAACATTCTTCACGAAAATCCTTGTCCATTTCTTCAAGGAAGAAAAACACTTTGGTTGTTCCATTCCAGTTCACTTAAAATTCCACTTGACATCCAATATAACCGATCATCCATTGCCTGTCCATTTTCCAAATAGCCCCGGTAATCTGAAATGTGAAACTTTGTTAATATGATGGCTACAAAAACTGAGTTACTCGCATTATCACAATACAAGCAAAAGCATTTCTCACTTACCACTTCACAGATGGTCGTGTTTTTCATCAAGGTAATGATTTCGTTTAAAGGAAGGTTTACAGATCCGCAATTTGGTATGAAATAATCCATTTCATATTCTGAGTCGTATTGGAAGAGAGAACAGATTTTACGATATTGTCAGGTACCTGAGAGGATGGGATGGGTGGGTCATTTTGATAATAAAAAGATTGACAAAAAAGTAATGGTAAAATATGGCTACTCGTAGGATAACCTCACCCAGTATATGACCTTTCAAGATGTCTGTAACAACATAAAATGGAGATGTCATTTTCTGTTCGACACGGATTAGAAGTAAGAATCAATAATGAAATCATACTCACATATGGCCTCTGCATACTTCGTCATGCGGAGATATTCAAGGTAAAAGATAAGCCATACACCAAATGAAGATCTCATAGTAGAATAAAATTCCTAACCCAAGAGAGAAAACTGGCAGTGTTCAGACGGCACAGACTACCTTGTGTATGCACTTGGTAACCTTCTTATAAGCACCATTATTCAATTTAACAGTACAGACACACCAGCCGACTAATCTGTCAACTGTTGCAACGGCTGTTGCCCATTACCGCCTACCATTTAACAGTAGAGACACACGAACAGACTAGTCTATCCACTGCTGTAACAGATGTTATCGGTTTACGCCTACCAGAATAGCAGAAAGTCAGACGAATCATGGTGCGCAAACTGACCTGGTTGGAAGCACGTTCAACATTCCATCGAAAACGTGTCTGAATAATCATTTGGAATCAGTGCTCCTGCACCCTTTGTGTACAGAAAGGAAAGCAGAAAATACCTGATGTCCTTAATATGAGTGGAGGAATTCTCCAAAAGTAGTCGAACCGTGTGATGAACTGTCATGAACTTGGACAATAAAACTACTGCAAGCAAATACGAAAAATACATGAGTTGAATTAGTTGATTCTTTCTCCGTTTTGACAAGTAGCATTTTATTATAATTTCCATACTGAGTAAAATATTATCAATAAATAAAAAACCGTTACTGATACCATTCACTTATTGTCTAATTGAGTAATCATCATTATTTGAAAAACAGGAAATTACATTTACTAATGTTCAGTAACCTATGGGAGAAATCAAACATTTTAAAACATATTCACGTACGATAAATTATGTATATTGTTCATATGTAAACATGTCCACAGAAACTGGGCCTGCAATTCATACTTCATAGCAATGTAATCAAAAGTCCCTGGTAACTCCTTGTCACCAAAAATCTACCTAAGCTAAGCATTCGATTTTGACTTTATATATATACAGTATGAAAATAAATACTGAGCAGAAATTCATGCAGACACAGTTCTTTTGTATTTCACCCTTTCAATATTTCCCTTTAAAAAAATGATAATGCTTGTGAAGGCAAATACAGCTGATGAAATAATATAAATGTTATAAATCCATTATTCGATATTCAGTTTCAGTCAAAGTCATCCCTAACCCTATATTTTCTGAGCTCGTCAAGCATTTTAGGTGGGCCGCGTCTTTTTTTATCTTCATAACTTCTATTTCCGAAACTCCAACAGAGTGTTTCATAGTGCCGTGCTCAAGCCCCTGGAATATTATCGGACCTAATTTATTCAAAACCGATAGCTACTGTCATCATCCAGGCATTAGTTCGGCTTTGATAACCATACAGCATAGTTTTAGTTATTCTAGTCAATTCAGTGAAACCCCTCGGTATCTGAAAATTATCAGGCTCATCATGATTCAACGTTTGACCATTACTACTGTAACGAGCATACCTTTGCTTTGGAAACACCTACTGGAGGACCATTATAATTTACAGCGTATCATTTATTTGCTCTCTAAAGATTAACCATGTTGATGACTATGGTTCACGTTAGGGGTTAACCTGCAACTAGCATGTATTTTTCAGATCCGTGGCCCTCATCTCGCAACCACATCGGATTTTACCTGCAAAACTCCGGCGGAATCAATTATCTTCAGTGCAACTCATGGATTCAGATGTAAGAAATCGGGTAAGGATCAAGTAAACGAAATACTATATTCATCGTCATCTCACTACGGTAGTATAAATGGTCTTTCCAAAAGTCAATCAATCACGATGTTCTGCGGAAAACTTGTATCATCATGCAACCCTGGAATTCAGGGTGGCAAGTATATACCGAAACCAGAGCACGGAATTTCGGGGTTGATGACCGCAAGACGAGATGAACGAGTTAGATTATTTATTTCCTCATCCAACAAATGCCTATTGCAAGCGAAATCTTATGGGTAAACAATGGTGACAGTTTTCACTGAATACTGTGATTTTCTATTAGAAGCAAAATTATGTGAAGCACAATAGGAAGGAAAAAACTCAGTGGTGTATTGGACTTAGTGGACAATAAGTTTGAGTGAAGCATTCCCCTGAATTTCACTCATTGAAGTATTTCAGGCGAGAAAGGTTTAAGCAAAACAAACAAAGAATATCACGCTACTGATATGTAGTAGGCAGAGGCTGTTCATGTGGTAAAATTGCAACCGAATATATGAGCGCTCTCATGAAAGCACTGAAGAGATATCTCAGACAGCCAGATGAATTCAGAAGACTTGTATATTGATCCCTAAATGGCTCTCAATTTCCGATCCTATCTGATAAAACCAATATATTTGTTTGAAATCAACCTTTGCTGGTTTACATTGTAGGTATTTACCAAAGTAACTTCCTCCGGGTTGAGAAAAAATGGAATAGGGAGAAAGAGTTTTCGGGACCACGGTGGTAGAACATGCATCATCCTGCAATTTCGACCTCGAAGTTTCGGGTTAAATTCCGGTCACCACCAGTCCCCTACTATGTCCGTAGCTACTGACTAAAAGCCTTCCCTATTCCACGAATATTGCACATTTCTGTGTAATAAATAAGCAGATACAAGTGATTATTCATACGCCTGAATCAATTCGTATAGATAGACGGATTCATTCTTTTCATAACTCCATCGAGCTAGACAGATGCATTCGTAGATTCATGAACAACTTGAATGTCTTGTATTACCAACGAAACTGTTTTGAGAGCCTAAAGTGCTATTCGAAAAGGAGATTTGCCGTACCCATCTTGCGTATTCGGTATGAAGTGACCTGAATCTACAGAGAAATTAACGTTGCAAATTAATAAAACATGCTAAATGTGCTAAAACGTTTAGACAAGCGTGCCGGAACGGTCATTTACAGTAGGCAAGATGATATTTAGTAGATGACTACACTGAATTAGAAAACAAAAGGATTTTACCAAGAAAAAGGATAAAAAATAAATATTCACATAGCTAACATAAGGAATTACCAGCCCATTTTCTAGAGGTGTTGTTGGGCCGACTATAATCATCTCCAATCATAAATCTCCGCGTAATGGTTGATCTTCAGTTTGTTTTCATGTAAGATAAATGTCATTCCTCTCTATATTAAGTTTACACATGCTACGGCTATCGTTATTGAAAGCATTCGGTTTTTCTTTTGTCCTTAGCTGTGGAGACATCATCCTTAACGGAAATTGTATACCACGTGATAATTATTCAAAATAAAGTATCTAGTCGGATTTCCGTCGTTCGTGTACAACCGGATGAAATAGAATCTGCTGGTAGAATCCAATATTCCATAGATGAGAATCCGTCGAGAAGCACGTATTGAGGATTGATCCAGACAAAGGAGAGTTGAAATGTTCCACAATGCCTTCTCCTAGACAGGTGCATTCGTAGATTCATAAGCAACCTGAATGTCTAATATTACCAACGAAACTGTTTTTCAGAGCCTGGAGTGCTATTTGAAAAGGTGATTTGCCGTACCAATCTTGCATGTTCGGTGTTATTTTTGTAAATTTACAAAACTTGCTGAAAGTCCTAAAGCTTTTAGACAAGCGTGCCGGAACGGCCATTTACAGTAGGAAAGATGGTATTAAATAGATGACTACAGTGATTTAGAAAAAATGGATTTCACGGAAAAAGGGGATAACAAATAAATATTCAGACCACTGAGATAAGGAAATATCAGTCAATTTTCTTTTAAACATTTCCTCATTCCTATAACAGAGTATCAGCTTAACATACGTTCCTATTCCAAAAACCTTCATGCGCGCACCAGCGACATACAGCAATTCTACCATTCCTCATCTGGCAAGTCGTTCACACAATCCAGCTTCTACGCTGTCAGACCTAACACAGGATTTGAAATAGCACAACTGATTACTACTTAGTAATTCTGTGATTTATTTCGTTTTTCGTTGTAATATTTCTGCGTTTTTGAAGACGGGTAAACATTTATGTGAAATCTGAATGTTCACTCCTGGTGGTGCCTGAAGCAATTATTCGACTTGATAATTTGCCAAAAAGATATATAACTGAATGTCTTGTCTGGTCCACTAGGAACCCATTGATGTGTTCTAGCATTCAAAGTTTTAAATACAATCCTGAGACTTAACGCATAACGGTTATCACAATTATCATTGCTATGGAATAGAACCCATTTGGTTGCGGACCAGAGAAAACGGTTGGGAACCGTAGTAGTCAACTAAAATTCATTCGGCGTTGTTTCTTTGTTTGTTTGATTCTGTTTCCACTGTGGGATTTGTTATTGGAAACTTAATTACTCAGGGTTTAGATTTGAAATGTTCACACTAGCGTCCCCCATACATAGTGGGTTCCGGTTTATTATCAACCTGAATTTGATTCACAAAATGTCTGTTTTTTCTACAGTGCTTCAAATGAACTTAGTTCATCAGATGTTCCTCGGCATTTCCGAGTAGATTCCTTCTGAAAAAATTCAAAAAAGTATGCTCTTCCGTGTCGCTGTCGATGGCTTTCACAGTTCGAGGTACCGCCAAAACGGGATCCAATCAGTACGTAACTGCAGTCACAGTGGTTTGCGTCCATATGGTCTGTTTTTTGTTGGCTCACACGTCTGGGACACAATACGAAATTTGGTGAATATCAAATTTATCAATTCAACAAATGTGAGCGGTTCGATTGTGTTTTGGTCAATGTTGTTTAGACTTCATA